AATATATATATGGTATTTAGATAGCCAGCTTCTCCAGGTCTCCCTTTTGCGTAACCACCTTCCTAACAGTCGGCCTGCCCTCTGGCGGCATCCACCATGGCATTCTCATCGTAGATCTCGTTACCCACAAGTGGCCACGTGCACAGACGAGGGGCCCTAAAGGGCACCCGGCCTTGGGTGATCTTAGGATCCACTGAGTTAAGGTTTATACACATTGCATGCATAATGATCCCTAGAAGTCCCAAGACTATGAAGTAATTCCAAGTTCTCTGACTACTGCTATCGGGTAGTATGATAAAAAAATACCTCACAGGTCCAGTCGGACCCAGGTCCAGTCTTGCAAAAACGTCCTCGATGTTCGCTCTGGGTGGATGATTTCAGCCATTCTCCTCGATATGACGACTGCTTGAGAGAAGAGCGCCTGCAAAACGTGAGTGCTTTGGAATATCGACTATGGGTCTGTTTCAGTCTCAGTCCGCCTCAAACAAGCCTCCCTCAGATCTGGCTGGTGGAACAAGATGCTGTCAGTTTCCTCATTGGCAAATAGTATGACAGATCAGCAAACCCTCCCACAAGACAAATTCAGCTGCTTCAGTTACCAGTGTCCTCCCTCACAGTCCCCGACTGGCGCCATGTGTGACCGTCACCAATTGAGAGCTAGAAAGGAAAGGGTTGCATTAACAGCTGAACACTAAGAAGATTACTAAGTACTACTGTTCAAGGAAAACAGGCATTCGCTCAACGCAAACAGTCACTCCACAAACATCTGCCAGAACCACCATGGAAACACATCGCTCAACACATGGGAACACCATGGAACACCCCAATCACCTGTACATAAGTGATGGGATGCATACATGCATATATATATATACCCTCGGCCTCCAAGACCATTCAAAGAAAGGTTGACCTGGTTGTAGTGTAAAATCCTTAGTAAAACAATGGTGGTTCGGTAAAGACCATTAAAACAATGGTTGTTGGAAACAACGGGATGCCACGGGTATATATATATACACACATGCATGTCTTCTCTCCCCTGTTGCTAAACAAATTTCCTCATCCAAAAGCTTTCAAACCTCCCTAAACAATCACATCAGTCGCTGCCCAAATTAAATCTCTCCACGAAAACAATCCAACACAGCCGGTGTTTTTTTCCTCGTCTTTCTTCGACGGTGTCCGGATGTGTCTGTCCAGTACGCTATCCGTTGGCACTCACACTGCGATAGGTGTGGAGAAATCCACGCTCAAAACACCTCACGTCTGCTGCATGGTTGGCACAGAAAGGAATCACAGGAGCCGAGGAGTTCAACACATGAGAGAGGGATGGATAAGGTCTGGATTCTGAATCCAATGTTCTGATGCCCCATCCGGCATCAATGGACCTACATGACTGGCTTCATTGCATTCCGGTCGGATAGCCCAGTCCTTCACCACACCAAAGGCACTTGCCGTCTTCGTCGATCCAAGGACACCGCTGAAGATCCCTTCGGCAAATCAGAAAAGAGCAGTTCTCCTGCAGAACACCTTATAAAACAGCCCCCATGCGATAGATAGAAGTTCGTAGATCCCGTAGAAAATGTCTTGGTTTCACCGTGCAATCCTATCTGGGGATATATCGATTGTTCCGGTGGAAGAATCCAATGTTTCACGTGCTCGCACTCTGCATCCAGGAGTGCAGTGGAAAGCGCAAAGATTCCCCAGAGTCCCGCAGATTTGTTATTTTTGTTTAAAGCTGGCTCCCCATCCCTCTCTACTTTTTATTAAGTAGGGGCCTACCTAATTAAGTGAGGGAGAGGTAGCTAGTAGGTATAGGACGCTCCTAGGTAGGACGCAGGATAGCTCACGCTCGCACAATTCATTTGGTTCCTAGATTTTTGGGGAAACTTAAGCCTTAGTGAGAGGCCATACAACGGGTTGATATGCAAATCCAGTTGGTTGAGTCTTCTTGCACAAATCCGTTTTTGGGGGTCGACTTCGGGGATCTCTGTCAGAACCACGACGTGCTCTTCGCTCTCGGCTGGACTTTCAAAGCTAAGGTGCTAAGACTGTGCTGGATGGCCCAGGTGCTGTGCCACGAGATCTTCGACAGCCCAACGGGAAACGAAACTGCTTTAAGAGTACAAAAGATCGGGTTTCACGCAGCAGGAAGCAAAAGGTCTAGCCGGAACCAAGGTGATTCAAAGAGTTCTGTTGACCTGGTTTTGGAGTGTATGAAGTCCTCTGTTCAGGAGATATGATTTCGGTGGGCCAAGAAGCCTACACTCAGCAAGGTCTTCGTGGCTTTTTCAAGGTCCACAGTTCTTCATCATCCCAACGATGAATGGAATACGGAATATTCAGGAATCTTCTACCGACAAAATCATATGGCAAAGCAAATGAACATGAATATTCAACATGGTCTGACAAATCATCCTTCATCCGACTCGGTCTTTGAGAATCACTCTCCCAAGTGATTCGAAAATCCCTAGGGCTCCTGGCCCACCTCCGTTTCGAAGATGGAACAGGGGTGGGTGCCAAGGGGGGTCGAATACCACCGAACCTGAGGAGATGGGACAGGAGCCCTAGGGAATCACACGACAACACCCTGTGGGTTCCTTCGGTCTCATCGCTGGTCGGACGGGACCCTGCGACGCAAGGGTCGGAAGGGTTCCGAAGGGTTCCGAAGGATGAGGAGTCCAGGACGAGGATGAGACCCGGCACGAGGGTCGGGAGAGGACCAGAATGCCACAGAACAAAGGGTTTCCTCCTCCTCTAAGGTGGATGGGTCTACGTGGGCCGTCTACCTTGTCAAACCAAGCCCCCTCCTCCTCCTCCTCCTCCTCGTCTTCCTCATCATCATCAACATCCTCCTCATCATCATTCCATAGATGGCAGTGCATTGGCTAGAATAACCATTGCGCCAGCTACTTAGATGCCCGCATGTTTCAGTAGCCTTAAAATCACCTGCGAAGCCTTCCCGTCCGTGCGGAAAGGAGGATCGCTCAAAGCTGTTGATTCACCCCTTCCGAAGCTCCAACTTCCATCTGCTGCCCACATGGACCAACTCCTTCCCCTACAGGTCAGTTTGACCTCGTTTTACTGGAGTTGATCATATACTTACAAAGGTAAAACGACTCAATGAGGTAAAGGATCAAGTTAAACCTGAGGTCAGACTGGACCTGGTCCGGGTTCTGAAATACCTGCCATCTAACGAACATCCGCACCTTTTGCTTCCTGAATGCTGCCCGCTCTTTAGAATGCACAAAAAAAGGAGCCGTCCGGACACACGACAAGTGTGTGACACACTTGTCGTGTGACTCACGAATTGCCTTGACCAGTCGCGAGCCCGACCAGTCGGAGCGAACGTCAGAGCCGAAGGTCTTGGTCAGGCTGCAGGCTGTGATGTTGAAAAAGCTGGAAGGGTTTGTCATGGTTTGTCTTGGTTCAAGAATGCATTTTTGGGTTGATGGCCCACCAATCCCCCTTAAATCATCATTAAAATCAAAAAACAAAACGTTTCATATTACATATACGGGCGACAAACTCCGAACTTTCTCTTCGAAAAAGAAGGTCGGGGGCCGATACATATAGGGATAGGGACGCAGCTAGTCCCCCCCTCTCATGAGTCGAAAACCAGTCCCAGGCAGAAACATCCAGAAACAAATGGTTGTGTCCGGCACTGGAGATCCAGAGGCCATTACTATTAGGTTGGAGGCCGGCCGCTCTAGTCGGTTGGAGGCCATCGCGGGTCGTAGGTTGAGATCCTTTACATGTCGGGCATTGCTTCGAACTCGGAGAAACGGAGAGTCAGGGCATTGGTTCTTCCAAGTTGGGCTCCACGTAGCAAATGCCGCCTATATTTAACTTATATCCCTAAGGGTCCAAGACCATCCTGAGGATGGCCTTGGAGGTGAAAGTGCTTCCTGAGAATGGTCTTTGGGGCAAAAGGACATCCTCAGGATGGTCCTGGACCCTTAGGGTATGTCGAATCTAATATTGCAAATATAATGTACCTGCAACACCCACCGGGGGCAACCAACAACGGCTACACTACTTAATCGGAGACCCATTTAGTTTAGGGCTTCCGATATATCCTTCTTCAGAAGGTACTGGACCAAACCACCCCAGTCCCTTCTCAGGCCACTTGAAACGAGCCGGTCGGTCCGAAGCCGGTCTTTCGCCCGACGAGCGCCGGACGAGCTCGCGCCCCGTCCGGATCCGTTCGCCACCGGACCGTTGGGACGACGAGGGGTGCAGCAGTGATTCTTGGAGTGGTGCAGATCCATCTTGGGCGAATTGGAAGCCCCATGTGTGTTACAATATAACGTGTGGGGGGGGTTCCATCAAATGCAGGAGGTGTGACCCCTGAAAAACTCGCAGAAACTTCGAATGAGCGAGACTGGCACGGATGTGGGCGCCACATCCGTACCAGAGGAGAGTCTGTTGCTTGTTTGATATTTTTGGGGTCAGAAGGTATAGGTCATTTCAATTCATTTCACCCCAAAGGTGTGTCCAAAATGAGTCTCTTAGATATCTTCGCCCCTTTCAGGGTTGAGCTATATCGCGAACTTGGGGACAGTGAGCCCGTCACTTCAAGCAGATGTGCTACTTCAGGTGGTTTCTCCCGGCAAAAACAGTCACCTTCACTTCACCGCTCACCGGTGTGACCCGCTTTGTAGGCATCTCGCTTCACCTCAAACTGCATGCTGATGTCAGCCTTCAGCAGTATTTTGAACAGGTTCGAACTCCTCCCCTGGTCCGGGCTCAAGTGAGCATGTGTGGCTGAGAGTCCCTTGTGGACCTGTTGAGGACCACTGCTCTAGGTGTGTGACACAAACATGTTCAACACATCTTTCGAACCCATTCCTCCCGTGTTTGAGATAGGAAAGGACATGTTCTGGGGGTGGTTTTGGTATATACAAGACCGGGCTAGTAAAAAGAGTGGTCCAATGCCAGGACACTCAGAAAGGATGCTCCATACTATGCTCCATATACAACCTTATTGTATGCTTTACCCTGTAGACCTCTCAAGATGGGCTCTTCACCACTACCGAGCTCCTCCCACCACGGATGCATGCGCATGCGCATCAGCTCTCACCTATTGTGGTCGCTTGGATTTGCGTCTGGAACTTCCTGGCGACGCAGACGAGAGCGTCGGTGCGTCGGTGCGGGAGAAGAGGCTGGTGCGGCGGCTGGTGAGAAGCGATCGGGTGATCAATCAAGGGTGATCAGGTATGACATGGTATGACCCCGAGGGCTCCTGGCCCACCTCCGCTTCGAAGATGGTTGGGGTGGGTGCCAGGGGGGTCTAACGGTCTAACCACCGAACCTCAGGAGATGGGACAGGAGCCCTGGGGGGACTAGAGTGGAGGTGACCAGGCATTCGATTGGTCCCTACTCGACATCGTGATCATCGTGGTCTTTGGAAGCTGGTGATGCTTTGCCCTACGACATCGTGGTCGTCTCCATCCATCGGGGTGAGGCTTGAAGAGGACTCTCAGGCCCCGTGAGGGAAGATTTAGTTACTTCAATCTGGGTTGAGGCGGTGAACATGGGGAAGATTTGTATTGCTTTTGTTTGATTTTTACCATGGTGACATAATCTTATATATAGTAATAGTTTTTGACCATCTGAAGATGTGCTTTGGTTCATGAACACCTTGAAGTATCTTGAAGTTTCATTGTGAACCTTGTGCTAACCCAGCGCTCCCAACAAGAAACAGCAGTTTTGACATTGGCGTGTTTGTGTGGCATTTCAGCCAGACCAGTTGGGCACCACTAGAACATGAACTTTTGGTCACAAACATGTCTTGGCGACATGTTTGTGACCCAAACCCTCAAGTTAGTCACTTGGATGGCCCTTTGATAAAGGTCACTTGCTTCGGGTGTTGTCACCCAGATGTCGAAGACGTCTTGTTCGAACCAATGACGTCCTTGTGGGAATAGAGGGGTCAGTGATGGTCAGTGCCAGGTTCCATTGGTTGTAGAATTGCGAGTATCCCGTGTATTCATCAACCAAGGCCCTAAGTCAGGCCTCGTCTGGTTCGAACCCTGAAGTGAGAAAGGGGATGGACCTAGCAGATGACATCCCAACTTTAACCAGGAGGCCTGAAGGACCTAAGGTATGTTGGTTTGGATCTCTTGAGTGAGACACGGTATGCCCCTTCAATCCACCCGCCATGGGGTCCAAAAAAACATGTGTTGATTCGGTCTCTTGATGTCAGCGACATCCCACCCTGCCCCCCCCTCCGGCATCGAAAACAACGCGCGACCTGGAAATCCGAAGCCCATATGTCCATCGACCTGGAGCCGCGAACGGAGCGGAGCCGAGGCTTCTCGTCTCGGCTTCTCTCGGTTTCTCCGGTGCGAGATGCCAGACGACGGAGTGTGACGAGAGGCCGGACGCCAGACGGTCGAGGTGTCTGGATGGAGGTCTCTTTACGCGTGGAGGTGAAAGAGATGACACGAGGAGCGGACTGGGAAGAAGATTGATCCGACTGACCCCTGACTTGTCTTCGACAGACCCCTTAAGACTTGTATTCGATTCCACAAACGGTCACTCCACGGACGGGTCCGGCGGTCCGAAGGTCCGACCCGAAGGTCGGCACGGAGGCAAGCTGCCACCCACCGAATGGGGCCGAAGCAAAGAACGATCACCTCCGCTTTGAAGATGGGCCAGGGGTGGGGGTGCCGGGTCGAATATCACCGAACCTCAGATGGGACAGGAGGTTTGGGGTTTAGTAGATATTTGCAAATGATGTGTCAGTTGTCCTTCCCCAAACACTGCACCTGTTGAGACTTAGGAGTGCAGTGCAGTGCAAAATAGAGAAAATCTTTGGAATGGCACGCGTGCAATTGAATTGGATCTGTCTGGAAGAGCTCCTCAAGACAAGATCATGTTTTGGCAGCTGAACAAAGTGTGTCCAAGTACATGTTGAAGGTCACCAATAGACTACCGAGCCCACGACTTCCCCTTCCAAACGTCATTGGATGATCCTGGCATCTTATGGCCCGGCCTGGGCCACATACCTTTGAGAAGGTGATTGGAGACACTCAAAGCTTTAGGCTTGAAGGGTTGAAGTATCCTCTAAAAAGTTATGTGACACCCTATACGCCCGGCCCAGGGCGGCCCAGCGCACTACTCATGGACCTCCACTAAACACCCATTAGAAAGATGCTCCTGGCATGTTTCATGTAAACATAGAACCAAAAAAAAGGAGGTCAAAGACCTTGTTTTACTGGAGCTGGTCATACAAAAACACTACTCAAGTTTCGGTGTTCAGGACCCGGGTCAACTGGACCTGGGTGAGGCTGGACCTGTAGAACAATGAGTTTGGGATAGTTCTCTCCTCCACCCATCCGCTGTTCCGCACCGATCGGGAGATGGAGAAAAGGCCCGTCGAGGACCTCGGCCGGGGGCGGGTTGATGGAAGAAACACATGCTCAACCACCACCACCACCACCACCACCACCACCACCACCACCACCTATTGGTGTTGCATGTCCTTTGCCTGGTTTATTTTTTAAATGCTTTGCTGTGTCATCAGAACGAGCTTTAATGCATCATAACTATAGAAAATGCATAATCACGTTTATCAGGTACGGTATCACAGTGGTGCAGGATTTCTGCCTGACCACACTATCTATGACATCTATGAGGTGACTGGTGGGGATATGACCCATGCAGGTGGTATTCATGAATTGAGAAAGTTTGATGAAACTTGAACAACACATTAAATATGGACAACAAACAAGACTCCAAATTAGCCGAGCTGGAGACCCCAATGGGAACATTCAAAACTATTCAGAAATCGGGACACAAAGAAACAGCTGAAAACAGCTGAAAACAGCTGCTGCACCGGCTGCGGCTTGACCTTAAGACCATCCCTGGGTCGCCGGCGTGGTCTCCTCCGCGGTGCCAGTGCCCAAGGTCTGCTGGTGCCGAGCCGCACTGATCCTAAGAGCTGTGACCACACGCGTGGGGCGGCGCTGGGCATGAAGACCATGCTGGGTCTGAGCATCGTGCAACAATGGAGCAGCAAACAACGCAAAGAATCCATTGCAGGTGTTAGCCATTGCGGGTTCCAGGACGCATCAAGGTGAGCGACGAACCAGGCTGGAGATGTGACATCAACCAGGCTGGGGGTTCGAAGCTTTGGAGCCGGCATCAAGCGCAAGATCGCTGTCATGGTTTTATGCGCACGGCGCACGGGTGTCCAAATCTGCCATGCAACACTTGTTGGATGACCTCTAATAATTGTCTTAACTGGGCATTGAAGTCCGAATTTTTGCAGAGTGCCTACTAGCTGCCGCTCCAAATCACCCAAATCACCACTGGATCGCCGATTTTGGGTCCCAAGTGTCTAGCCTTAGAGGTGAAGGGATGTCCATTTCACCACCCCAGCCAGCCACTATGTGTGCCCTGGCATCATCCCTCCCGTGTGTCCATCCGCCCCTCCTTCCCCAACCCCACCGACCAACGCGGACTCTTCGGCCCACCGAGCTGCGGAATCACCGGACCGTTGTCGTTCATGCCGATGGCCTCTCGGAAGGTGCCCAAGGCACCTGAGTGGCGTTCGTCCGCGCGGCTCCCGGAGGTGCTTTGATCTTCGTTTTCCGTGTCTTTTTGAGGGGAGACATGGGGAAGAAGAAGCAATTCAACAACAACACACCAAATTTCCCAGACACCCAAACACATGGAAATGGGAGAGATGGAAAAGTTGTTTTTCTCGAACCTATGGAGGGATCAGTCGAGGCAATCCGATTCCTGTGATTCCGGAGCGTTGACCAAGAAACGGATCCCAAACATTGAGACCCTAACCTTCCAAGCCCTTCCAAGCTCATTATACAAAAATAAAACAATCACTTGGTTTTGTAGTCTAAAGTCCTTAGTAAAAGAATGGTTCATCGTGAAACAGCATTAAAGCTGCGGTAGGTCAGACAGCCTATAGAGGATGATAGAGGAGATACACTGTGGATTACAAATAGAATGCATGATACTCTTCCACTTCACAGATTGTGGGCGGAGAAATATCCACCGCCTGGCTGCCGAAAGACTCCACTTGTTGGCCCCGAACGTGGGAGGACGTCCGTTTCGATGCCTTTATTTATTGTTCGTTGGTGCAAGTATGTGCAAAAGGCCGGGCCCCGCACCGGTGCTCCCGGGGCTTTGCATCTCAAGTCGTCGAGGTAAACGGTCGCGCCCCAGCTCGACGCGTGTCATCTCGTACCTAGCAGTAGCAAGAAACAAAGTCCTATATCCCATACCATCCATTGGATTAAATAGTGACAGATAATGCATCATAATATACTATACATTAAATTTTCATGGTGGACATGTACGTCACATTAAGATATTAAGTAACTATTCCGTGCATGGATGGTTTGGCTATGGATCCACATACCTTCGAAAATGATTGGATACTTGTTGTTTAGCCTGTGGCCCTGCCTGGCCCTGCCTCCTTGATTTTGAGGGAAACTTGGCTTTAGAATGCATTTATATCATTAGACGGTCCAGTTGAACTGAACCTGAGAAGGTGGCAGTGGATCCCTAGGGGTGCGAAAGTATGGGTTGAATGGGAAGGATTTAGTCGTCTTGTTGATTTCCAGAAAAGCTCCGGAACCCGAACTGGTTCTCGAGCTTCCAAGCAACCAAGGATTCAATCTTTGGAGCCGCTGCGGCAGCAGTGAATGGATGAAGGCTCTTGCTTGGGTATATCACGGTATATCCTATTGTTGCCAGTAAAAGTTTAGAGTGAATGATGATGTTTAGTAAAGGCCTTTGTATGCCTTTGTCTAAACTGTAGTGATAAGTTTACCGACTGTTACAGGTAATTAAAGGGACAAACCCAAGCTCTTGCCATATCTTGACGCAGGCCACCACAAAAAACAAAAACAACGGCTAGGGCCTGTGGCGCGGAAGCCGCTTCACATGTGATACTGAGTCTCTGCCACTACAAACAGCTTCACAAAAACCCAAAGCACGTCCTCCCGTGGATTCGCAGCACGCTGCCGATGTTTGCGCGGCAAGAAGCACTGACAGGAATTGCTTCAGGTACCGGAAAACAATCAAAACGTATTAAGCCAGGGGATTCATGTGGATTCACTCGTCACTCAGTTAGGGGAAACTGACACATTTTCCGAAACCGCCCTCCTACCAGGCAAATCTTCGCGCCAATGGAGGAGCGGGTGGGCAGGGCAAAGCAGGGCAGAGCGGCGCACTTGAGGCTCTCCCACATGGCGCTCTGCACGTCCTTCTGCTCCCGTGCTCCCGAGGCGGAACTTTCGGGGATCCAAGGACTTCCACAGTCCTCGAAAGCTCTTCGTCGTCGAGTCGAGGGGCTGGAGGAGTTCCAAGACAAGTCGAGACGAGTCAGAGACGAGAGCTCGGTGAGTGTTTTTTGGGGGGGCAGCAGGTGCTGCTGTTGGTGCGAAAACAAACAAAACCAAGTAAAAGAAAAGCCTAGCGGCCTAGCGATTTCAGGGCAAAGGTCCCGAGTAGTCTGGGAGAAATGGGAGGTGGTTCGGAAGACTTGGGGACTTTCAGCTTTTTGATGGGGTCAAACTGAATGAGAAAGTTATGGGTCGGATGTGCTTCAGCTGCCGAGCTGATGACACGCACATTGTTAACAGGAGGCTGAAATACAAAACTTGAAGCTCTTGACAGCTTCTGCCGGCATGTCTTTCAACTTAAGGGTTGAGCCTACATTGAAACTCACCAGACGCCTCATGGTCAGTTGACACAAGAGTTGAATGAACATTAATGAAACACAGTCCCCAGATGGTCACCTGGATTGGACATTTTCCAACCCCATTGTCCCATAGGACTCCCATAGGTATAGCTTCAAAGGCCAGAATCCCGGATCTCGTAGGATCCCATAGTACATCAAGCATTGGGTCGACTGTCGCTTCTGCTGAATTTGGTTTACTTGTGAAGACTGCAAGACTGCAAAGAAAGAAAGAAAGAAAGAAAGAACGACATATAGAAAGAAAGAAAGAAACAAAGAACAGAAAGAAAGGAAAAAAGAAAGAAAGACATAAATAAAGAAAGAAAGAAAGAAGAGACGCATGCAAATACCCCGTTGATACATTGATACCCGCACTGTCCGATCTATTTGGATGAATGTAAGACAAACATCTTCCAAATGTTCGAACTTCCCCGACCAGCTCCTCAGTTTTGTTTGAGGTGCCTAATTGAACATTACTTCTCGAAAAGGCATGGCAACCCCCATGTCTTGGAGAGAAATGTTGCGGGCGGGCTCGGGTCGTGTGTAGGATTGGACTTGTCTACCCATGTTCACCGTTAGCTCACTCACATACCACTCAACATCCTACAACAAACCCCCAAAGAAAGGTGCCATTCCATTCCCAAACACTCCATGGGATTATATACTATACTAACTTATAGTGAGGTATGCCGTATGCCGGTATCTCCAATGTTTTCCCCCCGCCACCCACAAAGAAAACAACAAGTTAAACATATTTAAACATGGGTTATACGGCTATTTCATGTTCTTTCGTCCTGGTTTTTTCCTCCAGCTCCATCCATCTCCACCAAGGGTCCGATGGCCCATGAGCGTCGCTGGAGATGCCGGAAGGGTCTTCGAAGTTGAAGGCCATCTCGGACCTTCCACGCCGCGCGCGCTCTCCGCGTCGAGACGGAGACGACGTCGACGGAGACGACGAGGACGGAGGCGACGAGGACGGAGGCGACGTCGACCCGGCGAAGACGGACGACTGAAGAGGGATCGAGATCTGGACCCGGAGCGGAGAGGAGAACACACTGGAGAGTGCTGGGTCTGAGGTGAGGCCTCGTGCTTCCGAATCGAATGGTCGAACTGCCTGCTGGCAGGACCTCCGAGCAACGGATGGGTCTTTGGAACGCCCAACTACTTCATGTTATATACCAGGATCATCCTGTCTGGGTGTCCAATAGACTACCCAAGCCTTACAGGTCTCCAGCCAGGGCACCCGTTGGAAGTGCTATAGGTATATAATTTCTTCACTGGAATTCATCAGGTGATGCGGAGTGAATACCACCATGTTGGGAGAGGATTCCATCATCTGAGAGGCCATGCATGGCCATGCCATGCACTTCCACCATGCTACCAGGGAGTGTAGGGTTTAGGCATGGCCAGGGCATGACGGCGAGTCACACGAGAGTTCAAACGGACTTGCTTGAGGAACCGCTGCTTGGGAAAATAGGTGGGTCAAAACCCGGGCAACCCGATTGACCCCCAAGAATGAACAGAATGGACTACCTGACATGGTCAACCTGTCCTGGTTTGGGGCTCCCGAATCCAGGAGCTGCATGGTAATGGTGATCCAGGAGCCGTGGGATTCTGCAGCTCCAGATGGATTCTTGGGTTGGTCTCCCCAGTCCGAGTCTCCATTTGCACCACTGCAGACTGCCCACAAACAAAAGCAACATCTTGGAACATCTGAAAAGGCCCTCCCCAAAGCAACCCTTCCTGAAAAATAACCAACAAACTCTTTGCGGTGACTGTAGGGTCAAATTATCAAGGGGGGCCTCGGTCTTTGCGAGGGTCTTGTCAGAACGCCAAGACTGCTTTGAGCTGCTCCATGGAAGCGGTGTCGAAGGCGGCGACCCTCCAAAAACATCCAAAAAAAACCCTATCCGAATCCTTCGAGATCTAAGACCTTTTTTGGACAGAATCGCACCCTGCCCTTCCAATTCAACGTAACAAAAGCAAGACTTCAAGCCAAGATAGACAAGACTGCAATCATGCTATCATCAGGATGCACATGTACCATTCGCAATGGATACTGGATGACTCCCAATGCTGCTGGTTATACCGGTGATCTCGAAACCCTTCGCTCCCTTCGAAACGGCCGCTCTCGACCGACCGCCGAGCGCCGCTCTGTGCCCTGCGCCCTGGCTGCCCAGACCCCAAATGTCGTGGTTCTTCGCAGCTGTCACTGCCCGAGGGTTGGGAACTGTTCACCCGCTCCTGTGGTGGAGATGGAGACGAAGGGGCAGGCGATCGGCGATCGAGGCGAGGCGATCGGCGATGGAGGCGAGGCGATCCGGGTGGGAAGAGCGGGGTCTAGCGGGGTCTGGTCTGAGAGCCAAAGATCCAGTCGAGAAACATGGGTGCTGATCAGTAAGCTCCAAATGAGTATATCCAACATAGGCATGCTGTTTCACCTACAACGACCTACAAACACTCAGGACATCGTGGGTCATGGCATGGCACCGGGGTAGCGGTGCCAATACAGAAAGTAAACAGAATGGACTAAGGAGGTAAGCCTACCCTGGTTTGGGGCATGTACTCTTCTTAGCACATTCTATGAGGCCCAATAGTATAGTGAGCGTGATGTTCGGTTTGGGCCGTCGAACCGGGGTTGCGATTGCCAGTGCAGCATGTTATCATCTCCCCAAGAAACGCCCCTGAAAACCTCTAGGCCACTTCCATGCATTTTATTGCAGTGAGAGAAGATGTGCTTTGTTGTGGCCAGTCAGTGCACTGCTCCAGAGATCAGTGGATCGGCTCACTTTGGCTATTTTTGCATGATGGAGGAAATATTTGCGACATCCTGGACCCTCCAAAGTACCTCAGAACATGGACAAACATGGGACATGAACCCACCCAAAAAAAAGGTACTTGCACTCACTTTCCGACAGCTCATATGACCAGCTCGACTCCAGGAAGATACAAAGATGGGGATCATTGCTGCAACGAGTTCGCCATGCAGCAGATGTTCGTTCCCAATCGCTCCATCCAGCACCCTCCAAATAGGGATGTTCAGAGGGTCTACGCTATTACCAGTAACAGTGGATGATGATAGTAAAAGGTTTAGGGTTCCTTTTGTTTTGTTGACCGCGACAGGTGTGGGCGTTCTGTAAAGTCCGTTATCAAGGTCGTTTTAGACCTGTCCAAACGATGTCTGTTTCAGCCCCTCTCGGGCTTCTGTTCAACTTTTTTCTGCCCCATGCAGGCAGATCGAAGCAATCTCATTGCACCCTTTTCGAATTAGGTACACACACACACTTTGCCCCATGCAGTTTGTTTTGTTTAATCATGTTTAAGTGAAACGAACTTCAACTCATGCTCGTGTCCGCTCTCTTTCCCATCCTATCCGCCCAGTCTGTCCGAAGAACCGGGCGATGCTGTGACTAAGTGTAACGTGTAGTAAGTTATTCCAGTCCCATCCGTCTGGTCTGGGGGATGGACCTCCTCTCCACTTTCCAGAATCACCTACTCAGAGGTTAAGTGACCTGAACTAGGACCCTACAGGAGTACTGAACTAGGATAGTCTAGTTCGGGTTCTGACCCACCTCTGCAGAAGAAGTCCGTCTGAGGACCAGGACCGAGGCAAAACTCAACTCGCTCATCGGCGAGGGCAAGTGCCACGGCCTATACCGCCGTGGCGGAGCGACACGACGACCGCGGAGGAGGCGGAGGGGTGGAGGGAACGCCCCGTCTTCCCGGATGGCCTCCGCTTTGGAACGCCCGATGGGGGGGCCCCTTGCATTCCAAGCCCAAAAGAAAGGTTCAATCTGCTGAAGCAAAACAATATCTTATCTTTAAAACACACACACAATGGTTGTTGTTGTTGTAAGAAACCTTCAATATTAGTGGTTGTTGAAACCGGTCGACCTGTAAACTCCGAGAATCACTGGACAAGACCTGTAGCCCACCATATTGGAACATGCAAGATTTGGATCCGCAACCCTTAAACCGAAGACCGGTTCATGCAAGTCAAACCCAAGTTTTGCTTGGATCGAGAACTCCAGTTGATCATGCTCTTAAGATGTCTCTGTGGTGTGTTGGGCACATCTGCACGCAACTATATATATCAAATGACCTTGTGTATGAACTCTCAACTCTTCCCCAACTCTCAACTCTTTCCCACATAAATCCAGCTACAACCACTTATTATATCAATATTCATCAGGTATAGCATGGTATACCTTGGGTCTATCCTAATACCTGTATGGTTAGGTTGTAGGCCTTGTCCCAAAGTAGTGATTTGCTTGTTTACGGGTCCTGTTCCAGGCAAGAACGGACAGACCCATCTTGCTAATATTTGGAGTTGACTTCCCAGGACCCACATGCATAGAGATGACCCCTGACACCATCCTTATAGCCATGGTATACCTCATAGAAGCTAAGTAACCTGCGCATGCACCGGTTCGACGATCCCCGGGAGTCCGGACGACGATCCCCGGGAGCCGCCACGGCTCAGCGAGGCACGGCCGAGGGTCGCCGAGCCGCCTGGCGATCGAGGAGCGCCGAAAGCATCCAGCTTAGTGAGGCAGAAGGGTATATACCAAAGAACCATCCCATCCCATCCCATCCCATCTCATCCATCGGTCTCTGAACCTCTGAACCATCCATCTTAGTGAGCGGAACCGTTCTTCGGGTTGGTTCAGAGATGGAGACCAATGAATCAATTTATGACAAACAGAAGTACGTAGTAGCCAAGAGAGGTTTCTTTGTGATCTGAACTAGGACACTAACTGGGGTACCGAACTGGAATAGTCTATAGATGTCTAGAGGCTTCTTCAAACCTCTGTTGGAGTGCCAACCATCCAGTTTGTACCCTAGATCATGGGACGTCGGGACAGTTCGCGAGCTATGAACAGTGTAACATATTGTTGGTTAGCAGAATGATTTTTATGCAGTGAAAGGTTCTTGTCAACGTGGACCTGTGAGGTGATAAGCTTCAGCCATTAGTTCTTTCCAACTCTCTGCATGGGGCTAACCTGGTTCAACCTGGTCTGGTAGCCGTGTAGCCCACAAGAGAGGAGCATCCAAAGCATCCAACACGAACACCGCCATTTTTTTCACACGAAACCAAAGGACAACAGTTCTTTCAGATCCAAAGGATGAAGAAATATGGGAAAACCTCCTCCTTCCTCCTCCTCATCACCCTCCTGCAAACCCTTCGCTCCCACTCTCTTTCTTCGCTCCCAAGCACTTCATCAAACTAGAACATGATGGTATACACCAGCTGAAACCACCCCATTCACCCAAAAAAGCGGTCGTTTTGCATGGCTCAGCTCCACTCCCTCCCTCCAGACAAGCACCTCAGGCGGCACCCAACCAAACCCCGGAACGCCGCCCCGGCACCGCAACCCTCGCTTCCGCCGCAACCCCCGGCGCTTCCGCGGCGGCGGAGCTTCCGCCCGCGGCCTCTCTGCGGTGTTTGCCGGTCGATGCTGCTCGTCATCGGACCACTGCCCGGGCGTGGTGCGGTGGTGCTGCTCCCACCGGGCGTGCTCGACGCACCTGGACCGGCGACTGATACGGAGTGGTAGGTGGCAAAGTGGACATCATGAGTTGATCATACATATATGGTGTTTTTATTTTTAAAAATCACCTGTTTTTCAGCTGCTTGAATTGGTAGTATATGGAGCATTTCCCTCACTCCCTAAGCAGCACAACGGCAAATTCATCTTTCTGTGTTCTACCCCGGGAATCCCGGGGAATATTCCTGAAGATCGCACCATTGAGACAGTGGAGACACTGTGAATCAATGCCCATAAGCTATGCCTTGTACAACTTGGACCTATCACCAAACCTATCTTCCTTTACTTAGATCATTGGCATGTTTCAAATCCAAGCACATCCAAACAACCCAACGCTTCCAGAAATATCCAAGCTTGCGTAGCAACTAATGTGGACATCTCCTTCAGTCTGGTCTTCTGTGCTAAGGTCTTGATACTGATTCGATGTCGATCAAGGAACACTATACCCTAAACATCTTGCTTTCACTCGGATGTTTTCCCTCCATTTGCCTCATCCCAACTCTTCCATCTCCGAAACCAAAACCGCCGCACCGGCCGACATCTCCCGCCGCGGCCGCCTGCGCCGGCGCTCCGCAGACCCATGAGCCGGAGGTCGGTGGGCTTCAAGAGGGGCGACGGCCCGGGTCCCGCCGGTCGCCCGGTGGGCGAACCTCGCGGTGCAGCGGTTGGTGCGTGAGAACGGAGAGGGA